GTAGAGAGAATGGAGCGAAACAGAATGACTTCAAGAGTGTATCAGTCTGTAGTGGAAGGAAGGCGGGGTAGGGGTCGGCCTAGGAAAGGTTGGAGAGGGGGGGTAAAGGAGGTTTTGTGTGCAAGGGGCTTGGACTTCCAGCAGGCATGCGTGAGCGTGTTTGATAGGAGTGAATGGAGACAAATGGTTTTTAATACTTGACGTGCTGTTGGAGTGTGAGCAAAGTAACATTTATGAAGGGGTTCAGGGAAACCGGCAGGCCGGACTTGAGTCCTGGAGATGGGAAGTACAGTGCCTGCACTCTGAAGGAGGGGTGTTAATGTTGCAGTTTAAAAACTGTAGTGTAAAGCACCCTTCTGGCAAGACAGTGATGGAGTGAATAATGGTGAAAGTTTTTCTTTTTCGGGCCACCCTGCCTTGGTGGGAATCGGCCAGTGTGATAATATTAAAAAAAAATTATCAGAAGTCACCTTGAAGAGCATAACTTGATAAATGAATCTCAGCATGGATTTACGAGAGGTCGTTCCTGCCTGACAAACTTACTGACGTTCTTCAATAGAACATTTGAGGCAGTTGACAGTGATAAGGAATATGATATTGTTTATTTGGATTTTAGTAAAGCCTTCGATAGAGTACCTCACAAGAGACTCTTAATTTAAGAAAAGTGGCAGCTCATGGTATAGGAGGTAAAGTTCTAGCATGGATTGAGGCATGGCTTACCAATAGAAAGCAGAGAGTTACCATTAATGGAGTGAAATCTGAATGGGGATTAGTCACTAGTGGCATTCCACAAGGATCAGTTTTAGGCCCTCTCTTGTTCATAATTTACATTAATGACCTTGATGAAGGGATTACGAGTGACATGAGTAAATTTGCTGATGATACAAAGATTTTTTTTTTTTTCAACAAGTCGGCCGTCTCCCACCGAGGCAGGGTGACCCAAAAAAGAAAGAAAATCCCCAAAAAAGAAAATACTTTCATCATCATTCAACACTTTCACCACACTCACACATTATCACTGCTTTTGCAGAGGTGCTCAGATACAAAGATAGGCCGTATAATTCACTCTGAGGAGGTTATCAATGAACTCCAGGACGATTTGGACAAATTAATGTCTTGGTCTGAAAATGGCAGATGAAGTTCAATGTGGATAAGTGTAAGGTACTTGCCCTTGGTAATGAAAATAACCCTCGAAGCTATAATCTAGGTGTAGTAGAGCTTGATCATACAGAATGTGAAAAAGACTTGGGAGTCATGGTAAGCAGAAATCGAAAGCCAAGACAGCAGTGCCTTAGTGTGTGCAACAAGGCCAACAGATTACTTGGATTTATCTCAAGAAGTATAAGTAACAGAAGTCCAAAAGTTATTTTACAGCTCTATACATCACTAGTGAGGCCTCATTTAGATTATGCTGCTCATTTTTGGTCCCCTTACTACAGGATGGATATAGACTCATTAGAGAACATACAGAGAAGAATGACTAAAATGATTTACTGTGTAAGGAACCTCCCGTATGAAGATAGACTCAAAGCCTTAAATCTCCACTCTCTGGAGAGGCGTAGAATGAGGGGAGATATCATTGAAGTGTATAAGTGGATGACGGGCATAAACAAGGGAGATATTAATAAAGTACTGAGTGTGTCAAACCAGGTAAGAACCAGGAATAATGGATTTAAGTTGGATTAATTTAGATTTAGAAAGGACATAGGTAAGTACTGGTTTTCTAACAGAGTTGTAGATGCGTGGAACAGTCTTCCCAGTGGGGTGATAGAGGCTAGGACCTTGGGTAGCTTTAAGAAGAGACTGGACAAATATATGAGTCGGAGGGGCTGGGATTGATTGGTGTCATTGGGTACGGGAGTTATTTCTAGGGAAGCTTTAGGTAGTAGTCGTTTTGATAAGGACCTGCCTCGCATGGGCCAGTAGGCCTTCTGCAGTGTTCCTCCATTCTTATGTGTGTGTGTTAGTGTGTGTGTGTGTGTGTGTGTGTGTGTGTGTTAGTGTGTGTGTTAGTGTTAGTGTGTGTGTTAGTGTGTGTGTGTGTGTGTGTGTGTGTGTGTGTGTGTTTGTGTGTGTTTGTGTTTTAATGTTAGTTATTGTGCATAAATATTTTTTGCACTGTTAGTGTGGACATCGTTGTACATGATAGGTAATCATACATACATTATGCATGATTTGAGTCACATGGGCCACTACAGTTAATAGAAAATATAAAAAAGTACTAGAAAACCCCAGAAAAATTGTAAAATATTAAATACAACATGCATAGTGATCACCAATGTTGGCATCATTGGGTCAGTGACTTTCAACTTCACACCTTCGTATCTTGGTAAATACTGGAGTATACCTGGAGAAGGTTTCAGGAGTCAATGCCCCCGTGACCTGGTCTGTGACCAGGCCTCGCGGTGGATCAGGGCCTGATCATCCAGGCTGTTACTGCTGGCAGCATGCAAATTGATGTATGAATCACAGCCCAGCTGGTTAGATACTGACTTTAGGTGCCTGTCCAGTGCCTTCTTGAAGACAACCAGGATGGCTGAATTTTTTTTATTACAACCATAATTTTTTTTTTTTACAACCATAATTTTTTTTTTTAATTCTGACTTTATTGGCACTTAATTTCCAGAGCTATGACAGTGAAAGGGTTAATATAATCCTCTAATTAATCTGTCATTAATGATTTCTAGGTTCCTGCCTGATGGTTTTAATTTTTTTACTGGCTTCTTTTCTCCATGACCTGTTTTTTGCTTTCCTCCATCTCTGTTACATGGAACTTAACCAGATTAAAATTCAACTATTACCTTACTCAATGTATTGAGATATTCCTGCAGTGATGCAGCTTTTTTTTTTTCTCTCTTATTTTGCATAGTATCTTTGCATCATCTACAAACATATGTACAGTAGACCATCATTTAGCACGAGTTTATTTGGCACGATTCGGGTATAGCACGGTTGAAGAATTGTGGCACAATTTTATGTAACATGTAAAATTAATTTAACATGGTTCAGTTTGTGGAAGGAAAAAAAAAAATCCCTTTTCCTCAAGTGGCCGCCTTGTTATCCAGAAGCCATGTTTGTGAATTGTTTTGATCTTTTAATTGCTATATCTTGTATCTTCCAAGCAATCATGACACCCAGTAGGCATACCAGTGTTGCTGAAAGTGGCAAGAAAAGGTATACGCATTTAAGTCTTAGAATTAATGAAGGAAACAAAGATATTAGACGAGATAATGGTAATGAAGTGTTACACTTTGTGTACACACAAAAAGAGGTAAACATGAGTTTGTGTGACTAACTTACTGACTGAATGACTTACTGACATGACTGAATGACTTGATTGACATGACTGAATGACTTGACTGAATGACTTCAAGTTACACTCCCGTACCAGAACCTCTACTATCCACCTCGGCCCAGTAGGACTACAGCATAACTCTCCACTCTTCACAATCATCCACAAACACCAGCACCCACAATTTAAGGCAAATACTATTATTTCTGTTACATTTGTAGTCTTAACCAGTAAAAGCAATAATACATCACAACAGTGAACTACAATTCCATGTTCACTTTTATTTTTGTAGGATGTGGAGGCCTAAAAAAAGTTGTTTGGCATTTTGGGGCTCCCAGGAATGTAACCCTATTTTTCCCGTAAGTTCTTCAGTTCATATAACACGGTTTTACCTAACATGCCATTTTCGGGAACGTAACTACCGTGTTAAATGACGGTCTACTGAAGCATGGAATAAAAGAGACATTGCATGTCTCTTTTATTCCTTTTGTGTTTTACTATTTCCAGATTACCTCTCGGAATTACACCTTTATGAAAGGTTTTGTGATGAATAAATGCTATCTACCCATCCGTTTCTTCAAATTTGTGACTTGTATTCAGTAGTTAAACACAGTTCTGTAGTTTGGGTAAGTGGGGAAGCATGGAGTCCAGTATGACAGATGGCAGGGATGTATACAAATTACCAAGTCTCAGATGCATTAAACACCTGAGGCATGTAGGCACTAATCTCCATTCACTTCCAGTAAAATGCATGTTGAATTCCGTTGATTTTCAATATACTGTACAGCACACCCTTTCGTGAATGGACTGATAGGAGGGAGGGAGGAACGATATTGTCGGTTGTCTGAAACTTCTGAAAGTATGAAATAAATTTTTCATGATCATTTAGTTGTCATCTGAATTAGCAGACTTGATCCACTGATGCAGATGATGATCAGACATGAATTAAGAATACTGATATTGTACTGTATAGTAATTTTATAATACTGTACATAATTAATAGTAATTTTACTTATATTTGTGTGGTGGAGAGAGATGTAATCTGCTTTTATTATTTTTGGTGACTTGGCATAACTTTTATTCTGAGTCGGGGAAGCTGTAAAGCTCCACTAGTGTCTACACTAAACTTAAGAGCATGGCCTGTGAATTTGTCTTTGCTTCTATAGGTAGTCCATTTCTGAACATACTGTTCTATCACTGAGATACCAGACTTGGCCTTCTTTATTAGTTCAAGTTGCTGACACTGAGAATCATGCATTTCCTCCTAGCACCACCACTTGCTTTAGAAGTCATTGATGAGTGCACTTCACTTAATATGTTGATTGTCAAACAGAAGGCTGTAAATCCTTGAAAAATTAGACTGACAAATATAAGTGAGCATAAACAATAAACTGGCACAGGTTGCTTACAGTTCAGGGACCAGTGAAAGCAGAGAAGTTCTGGACATGACCACTTTCTCGTACTAGACAAACGTCTAGTACGAGGCATTGGCTTAAGCCAGTGCCCTAACCTAGTTAGGTCAGGTCACATTCACTTAAAGGAGGAGCATGGCATCTGACCTAGTAGCACAAGCAACAGTCAAAGTTCCACATGTCACACATCCACATATCGCATATCTGTTTGCTGGTATTATATACCATTGTGATTTTCAGGTATATAATTCTCTTTTGTTTTAATATTTATGTATGGAATAAATTTCTTGTTGCAGATATTATGTCGAAACACAAAAGATTCTCCTCTTGTTCTTAATAAGCCAGCTGTATTTGCGCCAACAGGGAACAATAGCAATTTTCAAAGTCCTCCAACGGGTCAACCAAATCCTAATGTTCGCAGATCGTCACGCCTGTTTGGTAACAGTAATTCTGTCAAGGTGAGAATTTGTAACTGGTGTTGCACTGATTTATACTGTTTAATATGTGTACTGAAAGGTCTTCTATCTTTTCTCTCCACATCTATTTCTTATCTTATTCCATTTACATTAACTTACTTTTTGTGCATGTAGGAGAACAACAAGAGTCGTTTTGTAGCACCAAAGTCCCCAGCTCGTAAAACAAAAACCAGATCCTCGAAGAGTCAGTCAAGTCTTTCTGAACTGAATGAAAAGAACAAAAGTGAAAATCAGGACATTATATCACCTTCAGACAAGTCATTCCCAGAGAAGCCAGCCACTCCCCAGAATCTTGCACAACAAGCCTTCTCTATCCAGAAACAGTCAGCAGGTGAATATTGGAATAACCTTGGTCAAAATTTTTACATATCTAGTAATGTTTTGGATGTTTACATCTTAGAGGAATTGTTAATGCTTAAACTGGGCCTGGAAGGGATTGGTACCTGTTACATCCTTGTATCTACTGGTGAGTTTTTAAATACCGGCAGACCTCTCATGGTGCTCAGTTACATAACATGTTTTTAATAGGATGCTCTTCATATTGACATTAAGAAAATGTATGTAGTTTTACATTTGTACACATAAAAATAAAGAAAAATGGTTCAGGCTGAAAACTTTAATGTTCAAAGATGTATTTATAGGAGGGTGTGTAAAGGCAGAAAGTTGAATGTGAATATAGATAAGAGTAAGGTGATGAGGATATCAAATGATTTAGATAAAGAAAAATTGGATATTACATTGGAGGGAGGTAGTATGGAAGAAGTGAATATTTTCAGATTTTTGGGAATAGACTTGTCAGCAGATGGGTTTATGAAGGATGAGGTAAAACATAGAATTGATGAAGGAAAAAAGATGAGTGGTGCATTGAGGTATCTGTGGAGACAAAGAATGTTACCCATGGAGGCAAAGAAGGGAATGTACCAACACTCATATGGGTGTGAAGCATGGGTTGTAAATGCTGAAGCGAGGAGGCGGCTGGAGGCAGTGGTGATGTCGAATCTAGGGACAATGTTGTATATATATAATGCAGAGAATTTGTAGTGTGGAAATCAGGAGATGTGGAGTTACTAAAAGTATTAGTCAGAGGGCTGAAGAGGGGCTGTTGAGGTGGTTTGGTTATGTAGAGAGAATGGAACAAAGTAGAATGACTTGGAGAACATATAAATCTATTGGGGAAGGAAGGCGGGATAGGGGTTGTCCCCGAAAAGGTGAGAGGGAGGTTTTGTGGACAAGGGGCTTGGACTACCAGAATAAAAAGAAGAAAATTGTCAAAGTGGGAAGTCTGAATGTGCATGGATGTTGTGCAAATGATAAGAAAGAGATGATTGTGGATGTTATGAATGAGAAGAAACTGGATGTCCTGGCTTTAAGTGAAACAAAGCTGAAGGGGGTGGGAGAGTTTCAATGGAGAGGAATAAATGGGATTAGGTCAGGGGTTTCAAATAGAGTTAGAGCTAAAGAAGGAGTAGCAATAATGCTGAGGGATAAGTTATGGCAGGAAAAGAGGGATTACAAATGTTTAAATTCAAGGATTATGTGGAGTAAAATAAAGATTGGATGTGAAAAGTGGGTTATAGTAAGTGTGTATGCACCTGGAGAAGAGAGAAGTGTAGAGGAGAGAGAGAGATTCTGGGAAATGTTGAGTGAATGCGTGGGGAGTTTTGAATCAAGTGTGAGAGTAATGGTGGTTGGGGATTTCAATGCTAAAGTGGGTAAAAATGTTATGGAGGGAGTAGTAGGTAAATTTGGGGTGCCAGGGGTAAATGTAAATGGGGAGCCTTTAATTGAGCTATGTGTAGAAAGAAATTTGGTAATAAGTAATACATATTTTATGAAAGAGGATAAATAAATATACAAGGTATGATGTAGCACGTAATGAAAGTAGTTTATTAGATTATGTATTGGTGGATAAAAGGTTGATGGGTAGGCTCCAGGATGTACATGTTTATAGAGGGGCAACTGATATATTGGATCATTATTTAGTTGTAGCTACAGTTAGAGTAAGAGGTAGATTGGAAAAGAGGAAGGTGGCAACAACAAGTAAGAGGGAGGTGAAAGTGTATAAACTAAGGGAGGAGGAAGTTCGGGCGAGATATAAGCGACTATTGGCAGAAAGGTGGGCTAGTGCAAAGATGAGTAGTGGGGGGGTTGAAGAGGGTTGGAATAGTTTTAAAAATGCAGTATTAGAATGTGGGGCAGAAGTTTGTGGTTATAGGAGGGTGGGGGCAGGAGGGAAAAGGAGTGATGGGTGGAATGATGAAGTAAAGGGTGTGATAAAAGAGAAAAAGGTAGCTTATGAGAGGTTTTTACAAAGCAGAAGTGTTATAAGAAGAGCAGAGTATATGGAGAGTAAAAGAAAGGTGAAGAGAGTGGTGAGAGAGTGCAAAAGGAGAGCAGATGATAGAGTGGGAGAGGCACTGTCAAGAAATTTTAATGAAAATAAGAAAAATTTTTGGAGTGAGTTAAACAAGTTAAGAAAGCCTAGGGAAAGTATGGATTTGTCAGTTAAAAAGAGTAGGGGAGTTAGTAGATGGGGAGAGGGAGGTATTAGGTAGATGGCGAGAATATTTTGAGGAACTTTTAAATGTTGAGGAAGAAAAGGAGGCGGTAATTTCATGCACTGGCCAGGGAGGTATACCACCTTTTAGGAGTGAAGAAGAGCATAATGTAAGTGTGGTGGAGGTACGTGAGGCATTCCATAGAATGAAAGGGGGTAAAGCAGCTGGAACTGATGGGATCATGACAGAAATGTTAAAAGCAGGGGGGGATATAGTGTTGGAGTGGTTGGTACTTTTGTTTAATAAATGTATGAAAGAGGGGAAGGTACCTAGGGATTGACGGAGAGCATGTATAGTCACTTCATATAAAGGGAAAGGGGACAAAACAGATTGTAAAAATTATAGAGGAATAAGTTTGCTGAGTATACCAGGAAAAGTATATGGTAGGGTTATAATTGAAAGAATTAGAGGTAAGACAGAATGTAGGATTGCGGATGAGCAGGGAGGCTTCAGAGTGGGTAGGGGATGTGTAGATCAAGTGTTTACATTTAAGCATATATGTGAACAGTATTTAGATAAAGGTAGGGAAGTTTTTATTGCATTTATGGATTTAGAAAAGGCATATGATAAGAGTGGATAGAGGAGCAATGTGGCAGATGTTGCAAGTATATGGGATAGGTGGTAAGTTACTAAATGCTGTAAAGAGCTTTTATGGGGATAGTGAGGCTCAGGTTAGGGTGTGTAGAAGAGAGGGAGATTACTTCCTGGTAAAAGTAGGTCTTAGACAGGGATATGTCATGTCACCATGGTTGTTTAATATATTTATAGATGGGGTTGTAAAAGAAGTAAATGCTAGGGTGTTCGGGAGAGGGGTGGGATTAAATTATGGGGAATCAAATTCAAAATGGGAATTGACAGTTACTTTTTGCTGATGATACTGAGCTTATGGGAGATTCTAAAGAAAAATTGCAAAGGTTAGTGGATGAGTTTTAGAATGTGTGTAAAGGTAGAAAGTTGAAAGTGAACATAGAAAAGAGTAAGGTGATGAGGGTATCAAATGATTTAGATAAAGAAAAATTGGATATCAAATTGGGGAGGAGTATGGAAGAAGTGAATGTTTTCAGATACTTGGGATTTGACGTGTCAGCGGATGGATTTATGAAGGATGAGGTTAATCATAGAATTGATGAGGGGAAAAAAGGCGAGTGGTGCGTTGAGGTATATGTGGAGTCAAAAAACGTTATCTATGGAGGCAAAGAAGGGAATGTATGAAAGTATAGTAGTACCAACACTCTTATATGGATGTGAAGCTTGGGTGGTAAATGCAGCAGCGAAGAGACGGTTGGAGGCAGTGGAGATGTCCTGTCTAAGGGCAATGTGTGGTGTAAATATTATGCAGAAAATTCGGAGTGTGGAAATTAGGAGAAGGTGTGGGGTTAATAAAAGTATTAGTCAGAGGGCAGAAGAGGGGTTGTTGAGGTGGTTTGGTCATTTAGAGAGAATGGATCAAAGCATGGAAAGCATATAAATCTATAGGTGAAGGAAGGAGGGGTAGGGGTCGTCCTCGATAGGGTTGGAAAGAGGGGGTAAAGGAGGTTTTGTGGGCGAGTGGCTTGGACTTCAAGGAAGCGTGCATGAGCGTGTTAGATAGGAGTGAATGGAGACGAATGATACTTGGGACCTGACGATCTGTTGGAGTGTGAGCAGGGTAATATTTAGTGAAGGGATTCAGGGAAACCGGTTATTTTCATATAGTCGGACTTGAGTCCTGGAAATGGGAAGTACAATGCCTGCACTTTAAAGGAGGGGTTTGGGATACGTATTGGCAGTTTGGAGGGATATGTTGTGTATCTTTATACGTACAGTGGACCCCCGCATAACGATGGCATCACATAGCGATTATTTCGCATACCGCTTACTTTAATTGCAAAGATTTTGCCTCGCATACCGCTTAAAAACCCGCTTACCGATTTTCGTCCGAGACGCTTCCAATGTGCGGCCTGAGCCACGCTCACATGTTCCGCCGGTGGCATTGTTTACCAGCCAGCCTCCGCAATAACATCCAAGCATACAATCGGAATATTTCGTATTATTACAGTGTTTTCGGTGCTGTTTCTGGAAAATAAGTGACCATGGGCCCCAAGAAAGCTTCTAGTGCCCCCCCTGTGTAAAAAGGGTGAGAATTATATGGAAATTAAGAAAGATTTTGAAGGGTTTGGGGCTAACCCTGAGAAGCCTATGCCGTTGTGGAACCCATTGTGCCTACTTCAAAAATTAAGGAAATGTGTGCACAGGGGGTTGAACTGCAAACCTTTATGGATGAAAATCACCTGACACAGCTGTTGCAAGCCGTGCTGGTGACTATTTCAATGACAATGTTGGCCCATTTTAGACAAATCGTAAAGGAAGGGAGGTACAGAGCTCTATGGACAGTTTTGTTGTGCGACAGAGGTCCAGTGACTCTCAAGCTGGTCCTAGTGGCATTAAAAGAAAAAGGGGGAAGTAAACCCCGGAAAAGGACTTGCTACCTCAATCCAATGGAAGGGGATTCCCCTTCTAAACAGTAAGAAGATTAATGCTCTCCCCTCCTCCCACCCCATAAATTTCATCACCAGATCTCAATAAAAGTAAGTGTCATGTAAGTGTGCATGCCTTTTTCAGTTTGTGTGTATTAAAATTAACATTTCATGTGGTAAAAAAATTTTTTTTTCATACTTTTGGGTGTCTTGCACGGATTAATTTTATTTCTATTATTTCTTATGGGGAAAATTCATTCACATAACGATTATTTCGCATAACGATTACCCCTCTTGCACGGATTAAAATCGTTAAC